GCACGTAGTCGCTAACACAAACAGTAAAACAGTACGAAATGTGGACCAAATGAAACGGTGTAAATTCAATCGTCCACGCACACGGCGGGTTATATTTATAATATATATGTGTGCATGTATATCTATAACTATCGCCGGCGTATGGGTGCATAATATACAGTTTTTCTAATATTATAATTGAATACTTCATTACGGACGCCTACGCTGCAGTAATAGCACCACTACCAGCAGCAGCAGATAGGACGTATTTATATATTATATAGTATACGCAACATCAGTCCACATTCCGCGCTCGCAGAGCCGATAGGTATATAATAATATAATAATATTATTATTATATAGCAGGTAGCAGCCATAGTTCCCTCCGCGAGAGGTGTGCCTCGCCTCGTGTTATATACGATGGCCCCCCGAGCTACGACCCGCCGCTATACGAGTATATATACGTACTATACGTCTTGTCTTCTCCAGAATAATTAAAAATTCGACCTGCCAGCCATCAAGGACGCGTATTTTAGCGATTAAATCCATAATATATAATATATAAATGTGTGTGTGTGTGTTGCGTATGAAATACCCGTCTATATATAATGTACATCTGTATATGCATAATAATGCTGTGGGCACGAGACTCGGATAAGTTATTAACCCACTGTCAGATTCCCTGCAAAGCATCAATATGACGTGCTCAGTTAGGTTTGATTTTTATTCGCAACGTGCGTGCAATTCGTTAAATCTATTTAATTCGCGAATATCGTTCGACAAATCGCTGCTGGCCGGACAGGCTGCACACGATTTACCTAATAGATTTCCATCGCCCGACATGTCTTCCGGGCCCACGCCGATGATAATATAGTCTATAAATGTATCCCACTCGCTCAATATAACGAGATCGGTTCCCCCTATGCGCAATGTTACATTTTCCGATCAGCCCAAAACCTTCGTGCAGTATAATATAAGAATAATAATAATGTCCATATGACGTATCGGTACCTTAACCATCATATTATAATATATCTACGCAGATGTTATAATATAATATTGTCGACCGATAAATCGCAGCCAGATATATCTTGCCCCAAGGGATGTTTGCACAAGACTTTTGACCGGTATCGGTGAGCGTATCCTACAGCATTAAGTAATGTATATACCTATTTACGTATATATACGCATATTTACACATATGGCCGGATTAAATGCACATTTCTTTATTTTTACGATAGTTATCAGCTATCGTACCGATACCGCTATTAAAATATACAGTGTTTGTGTGTGTGGTGTGGTGTGTGAGTGTGTGAATGTGTGTGGCGACTTCCACTCGTTTATTATTACGTTTTGATTTTACCCGTCGTCGTCGTCGTCGTCGCCGTCGCATATATTTGCATTGCAGGAACCAGTAATCTTTGGAAACCCGTAATTATCGGCTCGCTATGCAATATATAATACGAGGCTCGTCACTAGTATATGTGTAGAAAAAAAAGTGTGCACGTATAAGTTTGTGTGTAGTACGTGTGTGAGCGCGCGCGCAGCAAATCGTCGTGGAAAAAAATAAAATTCTCGCGGCCCACGGGGTAAACATTATATGATGAACGGACCTAATAGATTCGGCTAATACGTTTCAAAAACCGTGAGATTGTATTATTAATATTAATATTATTATTATACATTAATATTATATACCTACTGGATCAGCTGCATCCGTCGGGGGGATCCGCCGTAGCGTTGTTCACGGTTTGGTCTTCGGCGGCGCGTTGTTGAATAATTTCGTGTGTACGGAGATTACCTGGTATTCTCGTAATATTCGGGCCAAGTTCATTGAAAATGCGCACACACACGATTATTCCGTCCACAAATCACGTATACGTTTTATAACCGTACACAAAATATTATAATTTATTTTGTATTTTTTTGTAAACAAAACGCCTTCAGTATATATATTATAATATTATACAGATATATTCGAGTCGTTCGACAATGAGTATAGTCCATTGTCACATATAAACAACTTCCACACACCGCCGTGTTATATTCTTTATTATTGCGGTGGAGGCCTAGAGACAAGTCCGTATAATATTATCACACATGTACACTATACCTCTGTAATATTCTAATAAAGATACGTTCAATATTTTCGTCGACTTAATTTTTTACACAATACCTACTGTTACTACGATTATTTAATACCAGAGCGTGTACTTTGTTTTCATGAATTATTACTTATTATTACCCTTTTTTATACTCCCGCCTGTTATGATTTTTTTTTAAATAATCTATAGTATGTAATTAGAAAAATTATTGAAAGATACACTATTTGAAAAATAATTATATAATATTATTTCTGTTGAGATAAAACGGTTAGCAAACAACATAATAATTATAAAATAAATTTATTACCTACCAGGGAATATCAACTAGTAACAGTAAACACTATTACACATTAAATATTATAGCTCATTGTGTATGCTTACATCTATTGGACAGTATATTTTATGACTAGATGATTTTGTTGGCAAACTACAAGCCTATGGCGTACATGTACATTTCGGTTCTCGGCTTATCTAACTCTATATACATAAAAAAAGTGAACAAATAAATAAATAGGCGGCACCGGTTTGCAAACAACTGATGATTATCTAAGTTCACTTCAGTTTGATAATCAATAGACTACGAAATGAATTGCGAACTAAATCGCAGAGTACCTATCACTTGCATAGTATTAATTATAATGTAAGACATAAGTATCATATTATTTAGGTACAAACATACCTTATATTAAAAATATTCGTTCAAGAAAGTTAAAAACAGACGCAATCGTGTAAATTCTGAACACCAAACAGTTTTAGTATAGGTCCGAATATTCAATATATTTAATACAAGCTGTCTTGTCACGGTTTTCCCCTATTGTTATATGTAACTACATAAAAAAAACCCTTTTACCCCCTAGAGGTCGAATTTTGAAAAATCCTTTCTTAGTGCACCCCTATATTGCTTAAAGAACCTCTGTACAAAATTTCAAGTCTCTAGACCCAACGGTTTGGTCTTGGCGTTGATGAGTGAACAGGGGCGGTCGCCTATATGTATATAGATTATATAAAATTCAGTCTGTGACGCAGCTGTAAGATATATACAACAAATGAAACGCTCGTGATTTTGGTCGAATAAAATTAATTCCAACACTCCTCCTATACCTCGACACAAGTACACAACAGTAAGCGAATACTAGATAAGTCATATGATACTTACTTAGAAAAAAAATTAATTAAACGAAAAATCGTGTACGACGTAATTCAATCCGCGTCTCCGATATTAAAATATAATATTATTATAACGCATTAACACTATCGTTACAGTAGAATATTCAAACACAACCTACAACATAATATTATAATATCCTGGCGTGCGTGTGCGAATATGAGTCATTTGGCGTGAATCGCCGTGTAACGCGTTTTTTCCTCGTATACTTTACCTCTGCTGTCCTGCAGATACAGACGGTCTTATTCCGCAGCAGAAGAGGAAACGTGTCTTGAGCAGTCGAGCGCGGTGTGCAAAAACTGCAGCACAACGACAACAACAATAATATTATGACAATATAATAATTGTACGTCGTATGTAATTTGTGTCCGTGAGTTTTACCTGTAAACACAGCGATTTTTCGTATTTTTTCGGCAAGCCAATAAAAAAGCAAGTGGCCTGGCGCTCGTTTAAAGTGGGCGTTCAATTTTTTTTTTAAATATTATGTTTTAAAATACATAATATATAATATACTTGTAACGTACTAACGTCATTCAACGTGGTATGTTAAGCTTATGGTGTTTAACTTCGTATTTAAATTGAGTGAATACTATTTACACTGTGTACAAAACTACGTAAAAGCACTTTAAATAGAAAACTGTTTTTACGTTCTCAAGATATTCAGATAAAGCTGTTTACATTGTTAACAATATTACTAGTAAACTAAGTTTTACAACTTACATTTGTTCAGGTGTAAAAATATACCCCAATTAACTTGGGCTAAATCTTTGAATCAAAGAATTTAAAAATCGACTATATTTAAGCTGAGTTTTACAATTTAAGATTTGTCCGGTGGACAAAGTGTGGAGGGGGCGAGCCAACTTCACACACGCACATCGTTGGGGCTTGGTCTCGGCCGGTCTTCGTCTTAAACATATTGATATTTTACATACGGGCGCTCTTTTATAATGTGCAATAAATTGTTGTACACACTTTGGCCGATTTATAACTGTAAACGATTATTATGTATAATCAACGTCGCTGTCTTATTATTATAAGCTGTGTTCGCAACTATACACGGATTGTTCTGCATCAAGCCGCGTTGTTGTGTGTCAAGGAATCGTGTGTAGAGAGGGCGAATATTAAAAAAAAATAATAATACCAACCCGGCAGTCGGCACCAACTTGTTTCCTCTACCTCGCAAAAAAAAACTAGATTATTCCGCCGCCGCCCGAGGGCTTTCCGAAGATAGGAATATATCTATATGGTAATATTATTATTATACAGAACCCCCTCGGTAATCGGTCAATTTTACGAGTTGCATAATAATAGATGACGGCGATGACTATGTTTTTATTATTACCTACCATTATTAGTACCTATTATTACTATTATTATTATGCACGTAAAAAGCGGTGAGCAAAACGGACGATTTTCGCACATTCGTCTTGGTCATAGTAGTATGTGTGTGCGCTGTATATTGTATATACGTGTGCACACAAACGCACAATATAATATATTATTACACGAATTATGTTAATATTTTGAAGTGTAATAAAAATGCGTCGAAATACAAGATGCGTTTGCCCGGTCTGGCCGATAGATGGCGCTGGCGCCGAGGACATCGCGCGGTACAACGAGGAAGCGGCTGGAGTGTGCTGGACTGCACGGCCGGCCAGTTCAAGTTCGAGTGCCATCCGTCTCGTGTCGTTCGTATTTCGCGTCATCTGTACGTCGCGATTTTTTGCGGAGTGTATACTTGTGTGTTTTAATTTGCTTTTCACCCCGTGTGCGTGTTGTTATTCGTAATATTATTAAACGATGTAATCGATTATCGGTGTATTTCTGCTGTGCCGCAGTCATTCAACGACAATGTATTTCGAATGGTTTTCGTAACGAATTCGGTATGTTTTAAAATGTCTGTAGATTAATTTTAGATTATTCTATCTATTTCTCTCTGCGCATATTATATTGGATTATATTACTATCCCATATTGTGTGTGTCTTGTTTGGTATGTCTTCGTTTTTGACTAATCGTTTATAAATATCATTAAATCGATAAACTCACACACTAGCATTTGGGTAAACAATAAATTGAGTATAATATAATTATACCATGAAAATAATTGAGTACTAGGAAACACATGTATCTGACATATTTTGTTTTCGACCATTACACCACCTCCTTGACCGTTGTAGATGATTTCCAAATAACATGGCCCCAAGTCATCCATTCCTCGAACATATCTGCCAGGTGGGATCACAATAATTAGCTAATTTTCAAAACATACCGACATTTCGAATTTCAAGTAACCAGCAATTACAGCGACGACTTAAAATATGTTTATCGATCATTATCTCCGATAATCGCCATTCGTCGAATACCAAAATACCAAATCATAATGGTCGTTTTACGATAGGGTCTAATTGAGCATTTAGGCAATCGTCCCTGAATTTGATTTTTATCTTTTTATCAACTCGAACCAATTTATGGCACCAAAGAATTAATTGGTTATAATTTATAAGTTATAACCTATACGCCTCACAAATTGTCGACCAAAGAACATGATTTGTGGCAATGCGATTCTAACATTTGCAACGCCTTGACTCTTATTTTTGTATTTTAAAAAACTAATTTATCAATAAATATAATTATATGTATACTTTTATAAAGGATCTTTTATATTATACTCAATAGTATTCAATATCCATATTATCTGCTTTTTGCAGCTGTATGAAATTCAATGTCAAACCCGAGTATTGCATTTGTTTTTATATAGTCGAATGTGATTTTTTTAGCCTGTTAAGTAGGTGGATCATCTACCAATTTAAATTAATACATTAGGTATAAATTTATGATTGTATAATAATATTCTATATTACGAACAGTATGATATTGAAATACCTAGTCATTTGGTGTAATAAAACTTGCAACATTATTATTATTTGTAAATTAATCATTTATAACTTTTAAGTAGGTAATAATAATATCAATACAGTGATCATATATACTAGCACACCAATTAGGTATAAGCAAGGGCCGAGAGTATAAGTAATTAAGTAACTATTCAAGTCTAAAAGAGGGGTGTTACTTAGGAACAAACACAGTACATTTACCAATGTGTCAGTAAACCATACCGATTCTTTGTCGTCAACAGTCAGCTGGAAAATGGTTAGGGTCTTTTCTTTGTAGCAGGTTCCAAGATTAAAAACACTTGTTTTTTGAAGGACAAACGTACAAGCTGACGAGGGTAGAATACTTCACAAAAACCTTTTTTATGAGTTCATCAATAAAATCCAACTACTCAATATTTTTTTTTTTTTTTTGTAGGAAATTTTGGTAAACATTTGAATTACGGTAGACATAAGACTCAATGTATACATACATGGTACATCTAAACCGCTATGTTATTTGGTAATCTGAAGTTGAAAAGACACTTCAAGGATATCACAAAATAAATTAGTATGTCCGATAATAAGTAATTATATGCTTACATAAGACTAAATTTGAAACCCAATCATACGCCAAATCATTTGAAAATTAAATAATAATGAGTAATGAGTAATTTAATATATTATTTAATTATTTTGAAACGATTTTATGCTCTTTATAAATCCGCTTACACTTGCATTAGGTAGGTACACCAAAAATTAGTCCCAATTCACACAGTCACACGGTCTGCCAGTCATATGTTTCAAATAAAAACTTCCTGTTCGTGTATGTGATAACTGATAATAATATTTATACCTATGTTTGTGTTAAGATGCGTAGCTGCCGGCATAAAAACCGGTATATGACAAAGTATTTTGGCGATTAAACAAAATGTTGTTACATAATTTCCGACTTATAACCACGTTTGGCAATCGGTCGATTCTACTTTCCATCGGAGACCATTCAGAAAAGCCTGGAGCTACATTAAAAATGGCATATTATTTACAATTCCGTTAAATGAATGAAAACTCAATAGTTACATACTAGTATACTACACATTACCTAAAACTTCCATCTCACAATGAACCTTGACCTCGCCCTAGTGTTAGAATTTACAATCAAATGTTAACCATTTACTATTTGTCCAGTGATCATCAGTGCTACGTAAACAATACGCTCGTATTTTTTAATGAGGCAACCGGAAAATGATCAACGAACATGTTACCAAATCTCATGATAAAAACAATTAACACGTGTTTTTATACGGATGCACAGTGAAACATTTACACCTTATATAGGTAGAATTAACCGACCTTGAAATTTCTGTTAGACAATTGATTACACTTTTATGTTGTTATATATTATACAATTTGTAGGTAGGCCTATTAACCACCGATCTCTATAAAAAAAAACAAATACTCTAAATCCTAAAAGAATCCAGTACCTACCTAATTTCTACGAACGTTTTCAAAAAAAATATTAGCGAACCTCAAATAAGATCTCAAAACACCATCAACGATTCAACGTGTATATGGTGTATTGCTTGACTATAAAATGTTATTATTTCTTACGGATATTTTAATGAATAGCCCGCGGTAACATTTACATAACAGGTCGCAAGAAAATTCACTTCCGAAATTATTTTGTTCACTGGACGCCCATCATGACGCAATTTAATTATTTAGATACGCATTGATTTTTTTGGAATTTCAGAAACAAGTTATTAAAAAAAATATTGGATGAAGATGTCCAAACACAAACTAAAAGCCCACGCACGTTTTTTGCCAAATTATACATGGGTACGATGTCGGGTGTGTCATCTGTTCGAAGAAAAATGCTAGTGCACATTCAGTGACGTCAATAATAACGACTGTTGAAGTCTCTACCGAGTACCGACAGGTTTCCATAATCATACTCCGACTCTATATTAGAAAAACGAGCAGTCGAAACTGTAACACAAATAATAAACTTGCGACAACACTTTAAAAGCAACAAGAAATTATTTGAAATAAAGAATTTCGAAAATTGATAAAATGAATAATATTTTGTAAATTTGCCAACAAAGATATTATTTGTGCATACACTTAAATAAAAATTATATTATTTATTCAAATATATGTAATATAATATGTTGGTAAGTAATAATTTTAAAATGCCAAAATACAATGTTGATTCAACGTTATTTTATTATATCATCTATCTATATACTGCCTATTATTAAATCAACGATTATATCAATAATAGTATTATAGAAAAGTTCTATAAATAATTATCACAAAATAATAATGTTCCTAAATAACATTGTTAAAGGAAAGAAAAGTCAACTCATTCAAATGACTGATTCGCAATAATAAAAATTCTTGGGAAATAAAAATGTACCCATATATCGCGAGCTATTAACCTGCCGGGACAAAGAATACATTGGAATTTTCTTTATTGTCAACGACAGCTCACCTGCGACCTGCAACAATTATTCAGTACTACAATTCGTTGATGTAACAAAATTGAACTGAGTACATAAATCGATACGCCTACCCTGAGAACAAGTTTTAGAATAGGTATAGTTAAATTGGTAACAATAATATGTCAAAATCCAATAGCCAATATTATGTCGTAAACTTAAAATCTAAACTGGACGCTGAAGTTTCAACTCTTTTCATCCCAAATTCGGTAAAAAAAAAGATTCATTATTTGCATAATAATTCTACCGAATAAATATTTTATTTAGAAAACACAACTGATATTACGTATTGCGGTTGACCACGCGTTTTTGTTTATGCATTTGTATAATAATATATGAAATGTACCTACTTTGTTTCCTTTTTATCTTGATATTAAAGTAATTTAAACTGAAAATCCGATTTAAACCACACTGCTATATAGTGAAGTGTAATTGATTTCAACTAGACCTCAAGTGGGGACACGCGGACGAACAGACCGTAATAACTATACTGCGGTTGGTATGCCTATATCCCTATATGCCTAATGCAAAAACGTAGTCGGTTACGGTTGCTTATAATTAAACAAACTACAAACAGCCCGATCAGCGTCCGTTTTTCTTACATTATCATATTTCCCGCAGCGCCGTAAGTAACTTGTAGTACCTGCGTGCCTGCTTGCCTATAGGTATTCGTATTTCGTTTGTAAAAATATTTACAGATGGGTTGGTCTGCAGCGAACTATAATAATATTATTATCGTCTTCATTTTGACGTGATGAGCCCTCTTTCATCACTCGCGTCGTCACTTTCCGTCCGTGTAAGAGGAGTTCCGGACGACCGGTGACAACGTCGTCCGGATACCCTCAGTGTACAATACATAATATGTATTAGGTACCTATACTGAAAGCCGGACACGCCCAGACAAATTTTACGCTCCATTAACGGCGGCAAACGACGATGATCGTTGTCGTAATAATAATAATAATAATATGTAATAATATCACGCGGGTGTGTGTGTGTGTGTGTGTTTGTGCGAGAAAACGTCATAATATCAACGACCTCGTTTGCTATGTAATATTATTATAGATGAGAGATGTGAGAACTGAAATCGAAAACCTATTGCGTAATGTAGACTTGCATAGTCTATTACTCTATACAGGAATAATTAACGACGAAAACGGCTTCAGGGTAAAAACGAACGCATCCATTGTTCAGGCGCGACGCGGGGGAGTTTTTTTTTCTCTCCAAAGGGTATTGCGTAAATCCCTATTCGTGCTCACTGCCATCGGTGTGTTTACTGCACATAATATATAATATAGGTATATTGGTATAATGTGTGTGTGTGTGTGTGTGTGATATACGTGGGACATAATATAAAAACGACAAAGAACCGACAACTGGAAATAAATCATAACTCATAATACTTTATAATATATATATATATATATTTATGATGAATAGAATAAATAGTTGTAGTGTATTAAAAAAAATAATGTATACGTCGTACATTAATATACGATTTTCTTGTACAG